TGGGGTGGGGTGGGGTGGGGTGGGGTGGGGTGAGTGGGTAGTTTACAGTTCAGTGCACTACGAGAATGACCCTCTCAGTGCATCGTGCAAACTGGGTCGCCCTCACCTTCAGCTGGACCACCATTTGGGAAGCACGGGACGACGATATAGGAACAGCTGTGTCCCGCTGACCTGGCCGGGGGCTTGCCTTCCTGGGTACAGCCTCCCCTGACCCCCTCCTTGCCGTCCAGAGGGAATTCCAGGAGAACTTCTCCTCCCGCCCACCTGGGGAGAAACTATTCTCCAACTTCTCCGCCCACAGATTTGGTGGAGAATTCCAAATGGCCACCTGAGCCTGGCCAAGCCCCTCCCCCTGTGGAAACCCAGGGGTGCCCTCTGGAGAAGGGAAGCGGGAGCTTTGCCAGGCAGAGACCCGGCACCCTGGCGCTGCACATTCTGCCAGGAGGCAGGAGGAGGCCTTCCTGCAGTGGCACATTTCCCTCTAGAAGGCCTATGGGATGGTACTGGGTGGGGAGCCAGACCTTTTGAAGTCCCCCACAATTTGTACTCACGGGCACAAGTTCTTCCCGGTCCAGCTGGCGCCGGTACATCAGGATTGCGTGCACACAGTTGCCAGCCCGTGCAGCCTGAATTGGCGTGGGGGTGGTGTAGAGAAAATCCTGCCCAGCGGGACAGGGTGGCAGCTGGTTATCTGGCAGGCAGGGAGGGGGACCCTCAGCGGTCAGCAGTTCCCCCCCGCCCCCTCCCACGGCTGAAGAGAACCACGCAGTGGCTACTCACCATGAGGTAGTAGTTGCTGTTCACCATGATGGGACCCCTTCCCCGGAGATAAATGTATTCCTCCCACCAGTCGCTCACCTGTGAGACAGAAGCATCCTTCGGGGGCTGCTGGGATGGGGGTCCCTGCTCCTGGGGGAGGGCTCTCTCCAGGGGCTCCCCTAGGCAGTGCTCCAAGGAGCAGGGGGCCTGGGGCCGGCCGGGGGCAACTGGGCAGTGCGTGTACACAGCAGGAGCGGAGTGGGTCCCGCCAGCCCAGCCAAGGGACTCACGTAGTTGGTGGCCCACCAGGACTTGAGGATGAGATACTTCTGGAGCCGAGGGGCCACGTTCTTCCGGAAGTCCAGGGCCAGAGCTTCCATCCGGTCGTACTTCTCCTTGTCCAGCAAGGGCTGGACAGAGTCCAGATACTGCAGGCAAAAGGGCACCAGAGGTCCGCTACTTTGGGGCCCTGCATAGGGGCTGCTGATCCCGCTCATCTCCCTGGGCCCAGCCTCACCCATGGACTACAGGGGCACCCTCGGCAGGGGGCGAGACCGACAGGGCCCCAGCATCGGCACAAACCCCAGTTCATCAGGCAGCCTCTGCCTTAGCCCCAGAGACCAGACTGGGAGGGAGGGTCTCTCTTCTCTCTGGACACGAGGAGCCCACCCTTCAAACGGGCACGACACACTCGGGGCTTTGTGCAGAGCTATAACTGGCGCCCAAAACTCCGGACTTGCTGCAGCCCCACTGCGGAAGGCTTCCAGGCCCCACCCAGCCAGAAACAGCAACTGGAAAGTTGCCTGCCCCCTCCCTCCCTCCCTCCCTCCCTCCCAGCAGGAAGACGCGAGAGCCACGGGGCAGGACCCCCTCGGGCATTGGGACTGCTGCGAAGACGGAGAATCTACTCCGGGCTCCCACCTGCCACCACCCCAGCACTGACCGCAAGCGTGAGCTGCTAGACAGACTGGCCAACCTCCAATGGCAGCACCCCCTTCTCCCCCCTCGCAAGCGAGGCATGGAGGGCGACGAGGCACTTCCCCACTGTGTTGTGCGGCTGTGGGACAGGGTGGGCACCCCCGGGCAAAGAGCAGCCGCCTTACCCTCTGGACGGTGTCCTCCACATAAGGCACCGGCAGCTTGGGCAAGGAGGTCTGAAAGCTGTAGAGCATGGGGTGGCGACCGGACATCACTTTCACCATGGCCTGCGAGAGGACGGCGGTCAGGCAGGGAGGGAGGGAGGGAGGGGCCGCTCTCCCTGGAGCAGCCCCCCATTCCTTGGCTCTGGCCCCAGGCCCCAGGCCCAGCCCCCGCCCCCTGGCCCGTTGCCGCGGAGAGCAAGAGGGAGGGCCGGCGCCCACACAACGCGGGCTGAAGGGGGCTCGGCTTCCCTCCTGCGGCCTCTGCCGGGGAGAGGCCCGCCTCGGACCCCCGCAGCTCACCACCCAGACTTTGGTGCTGAAACTAGTCTTGCCGTGGGGCTCGAACATCCAGCCGTGGTAGGAGAGCAGCAGCTTGAGCATCTGGCGGCGCAGCCAGATGCCCGCGAGCCAGACGCCCGTGGAGAAGAGCAGGGCGCTCAGCAGAGTCTGCTGGCGGAGGCTGAAGTAGCAGCTGCAGCTGGGGAAGAAGGAAGGGGGGGCACACGGAGGGATTTCTGGGCGGTCCGAGCCGGGAGAGGTTTCTTCCCTCTCACCAGAGGTTTCAAAGGGGGGCTGGACTGGATGACCTCTGAGGACCCTCCCGGTTCTGCGTAGGCGGGAGCAGCAGCCTGGCTGGATGAGGGGAGCTGCGGCTCCATGCACCTCAAGGCGCCCAGACAGGGAAGGGGGTGGACCGCTAGGGAGGCTCTCTCTCCACCCGCCGAGCTGCGCTCTCTGCCCCCGCTCGAGACCGGAGGGCTCTGAGGAGCAAGAGGAGCAGGGCCCCAGGTGCTGGGTGGTTCCCAAGGGCCCTGCCAAGGGGGGTCTCTGCCCCAGAGAACGCCTGTGTGCTGAGGTCAAGAGGGCTGCCTGGTGCCCACGGGAAGGGGCCCCGCGAAGAGGGGCCTTGAGGAGTGAGGAGGGAAGGC